TTGTTTAGATTGGTTTTATTGTTTGTTTTGTTTGATTTAATGTGTGTGATGGTATGGACAGCTATTTTGAAGAAAATGAGACGTTACAGTAGCCATTGTTGATTTCCTATCATTTTGTTTTGAAGTCCTAGAATGCTTTTATTGTTTTGTTTTGATTGATTTTATTCTGTTGTGTTTTTATTTGATTTTATTGTGTGTGATAGTATGTATGGCTATTTTGAAGAAAACAAGATACATCATAGTAGACATTGTTCATTTCTTGTTATTTTATTTTGAAGCCTAGTAATGCTTTCATTCTCTTGTTCTGATTGACTTTAGTCTGTTTTTTTATAGTTTGATTTTATTATGTGTGAAGGTACGGATAGTTATTTGGAGAAAACAAGAGAAATTGTGGTAGCCATTGTTCATCTCCTATTGTCTTGTTTTGAAGTCCTGTAATGATTTCATTCTTTCACTTTGATTGGTTTTATTCCATTTTGTTTTATTTGATCTTACTATGTGTGATGATATGGACACCTGTTTTGAAGAAAACAAGAGATATTATGTGGCTGTTGTTGATCTCCTGTGACAATATTGTTTTGTTTTGTTTAATTTCATTGTGTGTGACAGCTATCTTGAAGAAAATGAGAGACATTATGGTAGCTATTGTTGATACTCTATTGTCTTGTTTTGAAGTATTGTGTTGCTTGCATTGTTCTTTTCTCATTTGCCTTGTTTTGTTTTGTTTTATTCACTTTTAAAAAATTTTTTAAAAATAAAATAAATGATTCTTTTTATTGTCTTTTAAGCCTTTAATGTGATTCAAGTGGTCTCTTGCTTGGAAAACCGTGAAAGAAAATTGAACAATTGTGACAAAATGGGAAATGTTGCATTAATTTATTTCAGAATATTGACAATGTAGTATATCTAAAAGAATGAGGCAGAGTTCTAGATACCAAAATAGACAGTGTTCTAGTCATATTGCAAAATCAGAAAGTTAATGAGTTCTTAAAATTATATTTAAAAAAACTAAAAACTCATACAAAAAGTAGATTCTGTCCATTTTCTAAGAATGTGAGTATGAAAAATATACACATGCACATACACATACTTGTTTATATATACATATATAAGTATATCACATGTGAGTAAATATTAAAAAGTATGTAAAGGTAAACCCCCTTTAATTAATACATTACTGTGTGTGTCAATTTAAAAAAACACCCATAGCATAGCTCCGGATGCACCTGAATGAATTTACTGAACACTGAAGACTCACTCTGGGTGTTTGTGGCATCAGCCAATAGGCTCGTGGCCTGAATGGAATGAAAAGGGAGCAGAAGAAAGAAGTCTGGATTTGGCTTCTTCAGAGGACTCCAATCTTAGCTATCACTTCCAGCTCAGGCCCTTCAGTCTCCCTGCTCATTCTCTCCAGCTCTCCAGTGCAACAGAAATGCCCCTTCCCCCTACCAGTATGCTTCAGTTTCTTAGTTGCCCAGGTAATAGTTCCTGGTTTAGTTCCAGCTGCTTATATCTCTTAGAAATGGCTGATCACTGTGTGGTATAGCTGGTCACTATGATGAACATTGTATAAACCAATCACTCCCCAATTGATGAGTCATTCTGCTTCTGTACATCCTGCTTGCTTGTCCCATATAAGCCCTAGACCACCAGATATCAGGCCTGATATTCTGGGAATGATCTTAATCAGTGTTTATTGATGTAAACAAATCTGCCTCCAAATGCTGGGTGTTATTTTGGTACTTCTGCTTGCCATTGCACTGCCGCCTACCAATGGTACTCTGCAGTGCATTCCACCAGGTCTTCTAACTTTGACTAGAGGGTTTGGCTTCCCAGTGTACAGAGAGCCTTTTTACATTCTTCGACCTGTCCCTAAAGATGGCCTTCCTAAACCTACCTTGTATAATAATATTATGCATTATCATATGATAGATATAACATTAAATTTGTTACCTGACTAATGCAGTTACCTTTGGGTAGAGTGGGTTAACTGAAGATAGGTGACATGGTTAAAGAACCCTAATGTTGTTGGTCAGATTATTTACAAAAGGATGCATTTAAATATTTCTGACCAATTATCTCTGAAAATAGGTAGGATAATGCAATATTCTTAGCAGAATCACAGTATTGCTATCTCAGCAATTAAGTGGGAGATGTTGGTAATCCATGTTGATGCTGTTGGGAAGATGGGATGAGATCAAGGAGGCTACATTTGGGTATGGATTTTCAGCAGAGAACGGGGATTATTGGCAGAATCTTAGGTCAAAACACTCATCAGAAATGTACAAACTGAGATAGTCTAAGGAGAACAGTAATCACTGAATGCCTAGGTATCAAACATGAATGATGTCACTTGGATACCAGTAATCCTGCCAAAACAGTCATTCAGAATATATGGAGTAGGTGAAAGGGAGACACTGTATTCCTAACAAACTCCTGGCCCCTGGGTCAGACTTAGGGTAGTGAGAGCTTAGAAAAAAATTGCTATCAAGTGGGCCAGGGGCCAATTTGTCCTGGGAAATAAAGATTTTCTAGCTCATATAATTTACATTTTTTAAAAAATTAGTTGCTAACAGTTTGATAGGTGTTTTCACATAAACATCTGAATTTTCCCTTGTTGATCATTACTGAATTTTTTATTTGTAGTATTTTTTCATAATTGACAGCTTATTCATTGATATTTTTATTTGTTTACTGTGTATCCTCAGTAGACTGTGAACTTTACATAGTCAGGGACCCTGTCTGTCTTGCTTGCTCTGTTTCCTTTGAACTTAAAACACTGTCTGGGATACAGTATACACAGTACATGTTTATTATTTGTCCAGGGAACTACCAATTTGCTTTCTTGTATAGTCATAGTGATTATCACAGCTGGCACGTGGCCATCTTCAGGATGTGTCTTTGGGAATTACGAAGCTGTCAGGCATCTAAGAGACAGATGAGGAATAAGGGCAGATGTAGTCAGAGGATGAGGAAGACCCACACAGTGAGGACCCAGGTCCAGGGAAGAAAGGAGACAGTGGTGGGGGTGGTGATCAGCAGAGTCCAGGCTGCTGTGGGGTGGAGGGGATGAGAGCAGTGAGGGAAGGCCTCAGTGGGAGCTAATGACCTGTCAGAAAGTAGGAGAGGAAAGGCACACAGAGCAGATTGGATTATGGAGAAAGAAAGTATAAAGGTGATATTTCAAGGTTACCGTTCAGTTTTGAGAAGTTATTATCATTATTGTGGCATGCAGATAATTTTGAGCCCAGATGTGGTGAGAAGGAGAATGACAATATTAAAAAAAGATGAGGAATAGTGGGTGATGCCCCACCTAAGAGTAGGTAGAAAGTTGAGATGGATACAGGAAGAAGGATTAAAAAAGGAGAAAACCATTCCTTAGGATAAGAAGAGGGGGAGCAGGAATCACAAATTCTCCAGAAATGTGTGCTTCTAAAATGTCGCCATTTAGGGGAAGATTCTAGAAACCTTTGAAGAAATCTGAGTCAGTAATGAATACATACAGACATTGGTTTGCATATGAGGACTGTGTATAGCAAATGTATCCATCTTAACAGGCAATTTGTCCTTAGGGGAATCTGCAAAGGCATTAGATATTTTGCCTCTGATCCATTGCTTCCTGTGCATTTCCAATCCTTTTATAGAAGCAGTATTTTGGGTACTATCTTCATGGTGGATTAAGTATTCAGTAATTAAGTGAGAGAAGTATCTTATCTCCAGCATTAAGAGAAATGGATGAGGAGAAATACTACCGCTAGCAGGGTAGTATTTCCCTCGTGGGTGGGAAGGTTAAAGAGAATTATGAGAAAGCTGGCTTTGTCCCAAGGCCTTAAGTGGTCTTGATTATACTGTTTTTGGTATTTTTATCTTGTAGTGTCAAGAAACATTTGTTCAGTGAATAAATAAATGTAAGATCAGATTGCACACAAAACCAGGCAGAATTAATGTGCAGGTTTCTAGTTGCCTCTCCTGGCTCTGTTTCCTTTCAGCTGTAAGGTATTCCTTCAAAGTGGTAAGTGGTAATGTTTGCCTGTAATAAGGATGCAAAGCTGTTATGTAATGGCCAAGCTCTTGGTCTTTTGGAAGCTCAACCTACCTGATGTCCCTGGAACCTGTGCTGTGTCAGGCAGAACTCAGCCTCGCAAAAATGACCTTGGAGAAGCTGTGGCTTTTGGACTCTGGCTGGCTTTAAATCTTGACTATGTTGGGTTAGACTGGATAAGTCACCTAATTTCTTCGTAGCTATATTTCCGCAACTGTAAAATAGGTATAATTAAGATTTTGTCTCTTAGGATATTTTTGAAGATTTAGATAACACAGGTATAGGATGCAAAAGTGCACCTTGCATACAATATTCAGTGTTATTAGCTATTATTATTTGAGGTTAGTTTCCTTTAAGAACAGTTAAAATTTATTTACTAAATATGATTTAACATGTTTTGAAAATACATTCTGTGTGATTGTGTGTGTGTGTGTGTGTGTGTGTGTGTGTGTAGGGGGATATTGAGAAAGGACATAATCCCTGGAGGTGAAAGTTTCAGGGCCTCTAGGTCTACTTTCCTATTTACAAACCATCCCATAATCAGCTTCTGAGAGGTTCAGAGGCTTGCCCTGGTGATATTATGAGGAATGGCTGAAATAAGTCTGAATACTGTGATTTTTGACTCTCGATCGCTCTTATTAAAGCCCACATCCAGGAATGGCTTCTTAGTTTTTCAGAAATCATCCCAAATTATGTACCAATTCAGCTTTGTTTACAGTGGTCATTGTAAACTGAAGACCAGGAATTTGGAGAACATCACTCCGCCCGGCCAATAGATGGCGGGGAGATCTTATCGGCGGATTTGGTGTGGGCAGGAGAGACGGAAGGGGCGGGACTGTAGGATACCGAGTCAGCCTGGACTATCCAATTAGAAGCGATTTCGTCACCGTGGTGCCTTGTAGGGGTGGCCGCCCGCGGAAATTTGAAATGACAGCTTGCTCTCTGGGTACTGAGGCGATTGGCAGCCAGGGAGGAGAAAGGTAAGCGCTGGGCATCCGGGTCGGGGCGTCTGGGTTGCAGGTCTTATACACTCGGCTGGCCACGGTGGCCCGGGGCTCAGAACAGGGGCCACTTCCCTCTCTACATCCTCTCCGGCCTAGCTATCCTGAGACTGGATGGAGTTGGAGTGGGTTGGGACCTCTCTACCTGGACCGGTTGCGGAGAGATTTGTGTTCATTTATCTGTTGAACGGAAGACTCATTTTTTCAAATGAGTCGCGAAGGAGATCAAGATCTACACTTCCGTTTTTCAAACAAAACCGAGAAAGTTTGAGCCTGTGGTCTAGATAACTCTCTTGACCGTGAAGGATAGGTGACCCATCCAAAGTTAGGGGAACTAAATAGGCCCGGAGTCTGGAAGTAGAACCCAGGTCACCTAATTCTCTTTTCTACCTCTTCATGGAGATTCCGTTATTGTTATTAATATTGACATTAATGCCATTAGTTTGCGATGCACCACTGAACCACATCTCTAGACCCCCAGTACCTTTTTTCCCCGACATTTTAATCTGGTTTATATTTTTTAGTTCTTCCGGATGTATTGTGTAGTAGAAAGAATTGTAACAAAGTGAGTAAACATAGGTGTGACTTGATTCCACTGTTAACCTACTCTGTGAACTAGCAAAAGTTGCTTAGACTTAGCTTTCTTCCTTAGAAAACAACCAAAGGTTCTATTTGTGATGAACATGAAGTAAAATAATGTGTCAAGAGTCACATTTTTGAAGTGGCCATAAAGAAAGACAAAGACTGCGTTTTATTACTTATATGTGGGTTCTGAAAAAGCTGAATTTAGGGAAACCAAGTGTAGATAGTGGTTACTTCGGGTGATGGAGATAAGCAGATATTGATCAAAGGGCACAAAGTCTTAGTTGTGTGATTAGTAAGTTATGAGAGAGTATGATGATCACAGTTAATGAATATTGAATTGAATATTCAAAATTTGATAAGAGAATACATAAGCCTTCTCATCACACACATACAGGGAGAGAGATGAAGCAGGTGATGGTAATGTTAACTTTATTGTGCTAATTATTTCCTAATTTATATATGTTGCAAGTGCCCTGTTGTACACCTTAAATACATTACATAATGAGTTTTTATTTGGAACTTGTATCTCAGTAAAACTGAAAAAGACAAAGTGGATATATGATGTTGACATGTTACTATTTCTTTAACAAACATATACTGTGTAATGGGCACTGCTGTAAAGGGTTAAATGATTTATTATTGTAAATGAAGTAGGAATACTATTTTTATCTTAAAAGGCAAGTAAACAGGCATACATTGTGACACAGTAAGGGATTCCCTCTGAGGATTTTTTTTCCCACTGTAGTTTTTTTCTTTTTGCAGTCCTTGAAGGCTTATGCGCTTTAGGGTTTGTGAGCAGTAGATTCTTAAGTGTAATTCAAGCATCTGTGGGGTCAAGGTAATTCTGATTGCATGAAGAGAGGCAAAGAAATGGAAAGAAGGTGAAAAGATAGGAATAAAGGAGTGTGGGAGAAGAAAGTGCCGATAGTAGTCTCATGTACTTTATGTGAAATTACCTCTGCAAATTACTAGCTTAAAAGCCACCCTTTGCATCATTTACTAGTAATCATTTTGTCTATTAAAAACATCTTTTTACACAGAATTAGCTATACCACTGCCCAAGTCATACCATATGAAACATCACATACAGACCAAACCTAAAGTGATTTGCATTTTCTGATCTTTTCCTTAAAGTCATTGAAATTAGTGAGGAGGAACCTAGTGGCTTTAGTGAGGTAAACCTTATGCATTATTAAGATTCTCTCATCCCTGTTAATTGAGAAGCCATTGACAGACTCATGCAGTAGAAAATAAAGGGAGGCTTCTGTTCATTTGAGAGGAAAAAGTAAATCAGCTCTTTTTAAAAATGTAGATTAGTGGATCTGTTTTTTGGGAAAAACTTGCTAATAATAACGAATAACTTGATAATTTTAAAATAAAAATCATAACTGTAATCCTGTGAAGGAGGACTTAGGTTGTTTATAAAAATTAACTCTCTTCCTCTACTTTCCCTTAAAACCTCACAGAACAGCATCATCAAAAACTGAACTAATGAGAAATATGAAGCCTGTACTGTTCTGAAGCAAAATTTGAGATTTAAAGTATTTTTTGTTTTGAAAACTAGTTTCTTCTAATAGAGGTAAATGGAGCATTCATACCCAATTTCATATTTGCATTTTTTTTGGATTTCCTGAGTAAAGCTGTGAAAATAAAGACACTTTACAAACACTGGAAGTATCTGATGTTGAGCCTGTTTATTTTTGTTGTTCTTAAGATTTGTCTCAAGGTGAAGACTCATGCAGTGATTGTGGCTGTTGTGATAAGCTCATAGTCATTTTGAAATTTTATGCCAAAAGAAAAAACCCTTTTCTTAGAAGTTTTCCAGGCAAGTCAACTTTTATTTTAGGAAAGAGTCACAGATTACCAAGACTGTATTTTAGGTAAGTGGTTTCTTTTATTTGCTTCTTTTATCTTTTTAGTTTACAAATAGATTGTATCTCCGTCCTAATTGCCAGTAATTGGTTCTGAGAAAAGTAAATTTAAATGGATTTATTAATTTCTCTGTTTTTTGCCTTCTTAATTCTTATTGTGTTTAATTGGTTTGTAGCTGAATGCAGGGTCTCTGAAATAAGGGGATTCACAACACAGTTCTTGGAGGAGGCCCTTGAACCATCTGGATGACAGGCAGTCTAGCACACTAATATGCTTGAGGTACTGGTTGAGGTACATTTAATTCTGCTGTTAAGACATTTCTCTTTAGCCATAAGCACTTTACTTGGGACTGTGATGACCAGATTACTTATTTTTAATTAAAGTTTATGAACTGATTGAAAATAGCATGCTTTTCCTATCAACTTGCCAAGGGTGTGTGAAGTGTTCTGCAAATTTTAAGGGCAACTGTGAAGCTAGCAGGAAATTAAGGAGGTTTATGTGTCACTGTCCTTTGAGAAGTGCAAATGAATTATAAACCTATGAAATGCGGGAGGTATTTGAAATCGCTTAACAAATAAAGAGGCCTAATTATGAAGTCAATGGAGTTTCAATTTTTACCTTCTTAATTGTAGTCCTTAAGTCGCTCAGACCAAAAAGCATTTAAAAACTAGTCCATTTTTTGTCTAAAAATTTTGTAAATATGTGGTTAATCTCTTGCTAATGTATCCCATAGCAGAAAATTAAAAAAAAAAAAAAAACTTAGTTTTTTAACTGGATGGGCTTTTTACTTTAAATTTGCATTCTAATTACAGCTGTGAATTTTTCTCAGTGTTTGTGAACTGGACCACAAAAATACCCCCGTTAAGCCAAAATGTTAAACCAGGGAGTGTGACTACAAATTGTTGGTGTCTCTCCTTTAGAAAATGACATCATATACTGCAGTAATTATGTGCAAAGCAGTAGGTTGCAGCTGTTCCTTGTGAATTTTTAAAGTTTGGATTATGCTAATATCTTCAGCTGGAGTGCAGGTCTATTAATTTGCTTGTGGTACTTCCTTTCTTCCACACAGTCGATTTTCTAAGAGCAGTCAAAATCATTGTTTTAAAAGAGTAGTGTGCACTTTCTCCACTTAGAACCCTTAATGCATTGCGTTTACCAAGGGCCCGCTGCTGGCTTTCCAGCTTTGTATTGCATGAGAGAGCAGGTGAAGTCAGAGCTCGTCCTCACGCTCTTCCTGTCAGGGTTTTCCTGCCATGGTTCTCCCACCTCATCTCTTGCTGCCTCTCTTCTCCTGTTGACTCTGTTTCCAGCACTGCTTTTCTGTTCCTTTCTACTCTTCCAGCTGCCAAGTTCTCTGTTCCAGGAACTTCTGCATTTTCTGGGCTCTTAGCTGTCTGCTTTCTTTTCATTCTTCTCAGCTCTGAGGTGACTTACCATGGCCATCCCAACAAAACTAGATCACCACACTTTCAGTTATTCTCTACTACTTACTTACCATCACCTTGTTGCATTTTCTTCCTGATTACAGTGTAAGTACTGTCAGGTAAGAGCAGTGTAGTCTTTCTTATCTTTTATATGGTGAAAGAACACTCTCTACCCCCATTTTGTGCTTAAGAAAAATTAGGCTATCAACAGTGTTTTATATGTGTGTTTTAATTTTGATTTCCAGAGTTAAAATAAGTCTCATTATTTTAAGTTTCAGATTACAGGTGTGGACATGTTTCTCTGAAGGCATCATTGAGGCTTGCCAAGCCATATGTCTGTGAATTTGAAGTGAGTACGTTTACCTTCAAGTATATGAAAGAGCTTCTTGATCTGAAGGAATATCAGCTGCCTTTGCAGGCATTGTGGTTGGTGTTTGATGATTTGAGGGTGTTTGATCAGACAGTTCTTGCAACTATCAGGTAGGAAGAGAAGCTGATAAAACTAACGTTGTACCTGAAACTTAACTGTGCCATTGCAGTATTTTAAAATATTTGAATGTATGTGTGTTTTGTTTTGTTTCATTTGTTTGTAGTGCTGGGTTTTGAACACAGGGCCTTTTATGTGCTAGGCAAATGCTGTGCCATTGAGCTATATCTTGGATCCTAGCAAAATCTTTTAAATTTTAAAAACTTAACAAATGTTTTAAGTTTAGGAATTTCAAAAAAATGTTTAAACCTTCTTTTCGTGATCATTTCAAACTTACAGAAAGGTTGAACACATAGTACATTCTTGTTTATCCTTCAATCGGTTTCCTCAAATGTTAATAAAAGATAGGAGGGGCTGGGGATTTAGCTCAGTGGCATAAGCGCCTGCCTTGCAAGCAGGCAGTCGTGAGTTCGATCCCTGGTACCGATAAAAACGAAAAAGACAAAAAAAAAAATAAATAAATAAAATAAAAGATAGGGTATTCTTTGTCTGTTTAATACAGATTTAGAAATGGATTTAAAATATGTGTATACTAAAACTTATGGTTGCTATATTTGAAAATAAGAGGATAGAAAAAGGAAAGGAAGTAAAGAAGTTTGTGTATCATAATCTTTGCACTGATAAGATTAATACACTTTTTTTTAAAGGATGTATCTTGTCAAAGGTACTTTCTCAGGATACTACTTGAGTCTTTAGTTATGCTTTTTAAAATATTTCAAATAAATCATCTATTAAGTAATTTCTAATTAGATCGTGTTTTGATCTTATGTGTTTATATATATTAAAGAAGGCTGACTTGTAGCTATTTAAGAGAAAGACATACTCCTCTAAGAACTAGAGGACTGGATAATGTAATGATCATTTGGTAGTAATGTTGCTTGTTTATTTTGAACTTTAAAAAGTACTTCCCAGTTTTTATACCATTACTGAGTTGACCTGATTTTGCTGAATTTAATTTGACTATTCTACAAAGAAGCAGAATGTCTTGGATTCTGCTTTTTACATCCCATGGTAAATTTCTAATTGTGTGCTAGAACATTTAACCCTATTCATTAATTACTTCATTAATACACCAAACAATGTAAATCTAAACAATGTAAATCTAGTTTTTGTCCTGAACCAAAAAAACTGCCTTATGTTTTTCTCATGGAAAGAAAAAATATGTTATCAATGGAAGATAAAGGAATAATTGGTGGATTTATAAAATGAGGAATCAGAGAGCCAATTTCTATGGTTTTAAAACTTGTTAAAAGAGTTCCTGGAATTGGTGATGTTATTTGAAGAGAAACCTAAATTCACTGTTCATTGGAGGACTCAAATTCTGGTCAGTGCCTGGAGAAAGTCAAAGCAGGAAGATTTTCACTTGTTCATTGATACAATAAATATTTGCATGCCAGTTCCTCAGTTTGACTGTTACATGAAACAGAAGCAATCAGCATCATCAGGGAACTGTCAAAGGTAGATGATGAGCCTTGATGACCAACCAAACAAGGATACAGATGTGATTGGAATTGGCAATAAATGCTTTAAAGAATTACAGAAAGTCCTAAGACTAGGTCAGCATGTTGTCCTGTGGTTATTTCCTGAAGAAAGACATTTGAACTTGGGTGGGAGGTGGCGTTGAAGTTAAAGAGGAACAGGAGCTGGGAACAGATGCAGGAACTCAGTGAGTTTCAGGAGCTAAAAGGCCAGTGTGATCAGAACACAGACAGTGTTGCATGAGCCCTAAGAAACCAAGTGGGAGAAGTTGGTGGGGTCCATAGGTTCAGGGCTTTGTCAGTCAATTAATAACTTTTGATTTTAAAAGCAGTAGGAAGCCACTCAAGGGCTTTTATTCTTGGAAGCATATGATCGATGTTGTGTTTTAAAAGGTTCATTTAGGCTTGTATGTGGAAAAACAAATGGGGATGGTATAGGGAAACCTGTTAAGAGGCAAGAGAAAGCTGGAATGGAACTATGTGAAGGACAGAAGATTTATGGAGAAAGTAAAGTGGCTGGGAGTTAGTAGTTGAGTAGATGGGAGAGATGAGGGATGAGGAGATGAGGAAATATGGGAGAAGACAGGGCCAACTTCTAGGTCCCTGGCTTAAAAGAATAAACACTGAAGGAAGTACAGATGTAAGTGACATATAAATGTCTGGTGCTACAGTGCTGAGTATAATATTAAGTGAATTCTGCAATGTAAATACAGGTTTGTCAGGTAAAGAGGAGGAAAGCTCTTGACCAGCATGTTACATGGGAATTTGAAAGATCTTAGGAAATTGGTAATTTATATATAAGGGCTCTGAGGCAGGAGAGGTGCTTTAGAGCCATAATATTAATACATATATTGTTACCACACTCAAGACTTTACTCTTAGGGCAACAGGAAGCCAGTAGAGGTGTTTCATCTTATTCTTTTCCATTTTGATTAGGGCAAGCTTAGATTTAGTTTTTGTTTTTTAAAGATGCATTCCAGAGGGTGAAGAAAGTCTCCAGTCTGTAAGAATTGCGATGGCTTTATTTTCAGTGCTCCTTCCTTTTCACAGAACTTAAGAGTCAGATAGTCACAATCTGTACTCCTGGCCCTCCGGTAATGCTTTTGTTTGACCGCTGAAGTGGTGCTCATGGTCACTAACAGCTTCCTGTTCTCATATCCAGGCAACATTTATCTGGTCTTACCTTGCTTGACCTGCTGGCTACATTCTGGCATTTAATCATTCCTATCATCGTAACACACTTTCCTCTCAGCTTCTGGGACACAGCTTTTCTGATGGTGTCTCACTGACTTGCTTTCTTAGTCATCTTGGACATTTCTTCCTTTCATGCTCACATTCAGTGTGTTGAAGTTACTCAGGGATCAATCCTGTGGCATTATTTTAGTTGTTTTTCTATTGCGTTAAAAATACCACAGACTGAATAATTTTAAAAATGTTCTCTTTTTTTCTATTCTTTTTCTTTTTTCATTGTTCTGGAAGCTGGGAAGCCCAGAAGTCTAAGTCTTACCTTTTGGGAAGGAGACCAAGAGTGGGGCAGGGAGAAGGGGACATAAACATAATTAAGATATGTTATGTACATGTACCAACTTCACACAATGAATGTAATCATTATGTACTGCAAGCATGTAACAATAAAGATAAGATTTTTAAAAAATACTGTTGTAATGGCAATTATATTTAGCCATGAATTTCAAAGAGGACATTCAAACCCTACCAGCCATCTATGTTTCTGTTTTCAGTCAGCCTTGGATGCACTTCAGAATCACCTGGAGATGTTTTTATGGATATGTTCTAATTCATATATGAAGAAGTAATGATGGAATGAGATTATCTGCATTTCAAACCACTAATGAAGTAAAAGTTGTAGGCGTTATTAGTGGCTGCTAAAAGATTAGGTAAAAAACTGATGAAGAGTTTTATTGTGAGTAGATTGAGCTGACCACACCTGAATCTTATCAATCAATCTTAGTCTCAGAAAGATATGACTAGCATTATGTGTCTCTTGTAGACTTTTCTTACTGCTGGGACAAAATATCCTACACTCACATCTTAAAGGACAGAAGCTCTATTTTGGTTCACAGTTTAGAAGTTTCAGTCGGTGCATGGTCAACAGCGTGGTAGAAGGGTCAGGGCAGAGGAAAGCTGCTCAGGTCATGGCAAGCAGGAAAAGCCAGAAGCTGGGAAGGGAGAATATACCCTTCCAGGTCCTTGCCTCAGTGACTCTTTCCTGGCCAAACCACATTTTTTAATAGCAAATGAATCATAGCATCCAGTCATCTTTAAAAGCCCTGCCTCTGAGTACATGAGGCTCTTAGGGGGCATGTAGATCGAAATCATAACAATCGTTCCCTGACAAAGCTATTTTATGTGTACCTCTCTGAAAGTGTTACTGTGAAAAAAATCTTTCCCAAAGCCAAACAAGTCTCTAGATCTTGTTATATGTTTACTATAGATAAAAGAAACAGAAGACTGTATTAGGTTACCTCACACAGACAAAATTAATAAAATTGAGAGTGTGAAAAAATGTTAAAAATAGAGAAACTATTAAATTGTAAGGGAATAAAAGAGGAAAGAATATAGACTAAAAGTGATTTAAGTGATAATTCAAGTACTCCAACAGCTGACCTTACTTGAATCCTGATAAAATTTTGTAAAACAACAATCAAAGGGACAGTTAGGGTGTTTGAACGTTCATGGGGTATTTGATACCATTAAGGAATTAACACTTTTTGGTTATAAATGTTTATTTTAGAAAAATACACATTAAAATTTTATGAATGATAGATATGTCAGATTTGCTTCTCCATTGTCCAGTGTCAGAGTGGATGGAGAAGAGAAATAGGAGTATTCAGGTGGGGTAGAAATGAAAAAAGATTACCCATGGGTTGATAATTGCTGAGGGTGGATGATGGATACATTGTATTCAAGACACTGTGTCTTTGCTGTTGAATGTGTTTGAAATTTTCCATAGTACAAAAATTGTTCAATTACCTAGGGAGCTTTAAAAAATATGGATGGTTTCTCTCCCCCAGGGAGATTCTGAGTTATTGGTCTAGAATAGGAAATCAATTTTTAAAAGTGTCACAGGGGACTCTAATATGTAGACAGGGTTGAGACCTAGTGCTTTATATTATGTCCCCAGATGATCTCATCTATTGCTTTACTACCGCTAATATGCTGATGCCTCACAGATAACCTTTCCCTTGAGCTCTGAGGTTCTATAATCACCTGCATACTGGACATCATCCAGGGGTTCAATAGGTGCCTCAACTGGAACACTGTGGAAATGGAACTCATTTTCAACTCCAGACTTTTCTCTCCCAGTCTTTTCTGTCCAATAGGTGGCATCATCATCTACCCAGGTACTGATGGCTAATTAGTTCTGGTAGAAAGAAAGTGCTTTCAAAACCTGTGTTATGGACAGATTTTAGCTGATCCTAAGGCCTTTATTTTGTGTGACTAATGATTGTCAACTCTACCGAATACACAGCATCCACATATCTTAAGAGAATGTTGTGTATTTGCTATAGAGTTATTTATTTATTTGTTTGTTAGTTTTCTGAGGTAAGGTCTTGCTATGTAGTTCAGGCTGGCCTTGAAATGAAACTTGTGCAAAGGCAGGGACACATGCATAGTGTTCATTAACAGAGTTTTAAAGCAGAATTCAAGAACAAGTATTTGTAAATATGAATAAAATATTTAATTGGACTAGTGTGTGAAAAGCTCTCTGTTAAGTTCAATGATGCTTAAAAAATGGTGAAATTTCTTGAATTACAGAGTGCATTTTTTTCATTCTTTTGAAGAGCATATTTAAAGGTATATGGTTTTAATTTAAATTCCTATAGTTAAAAAACATTAGGCTGCACAGACTTTGCCTGAAGATGTTTTGTCAAGCTCTTGCTTTATTTAACTAACATATAAAAAGACTCATTAATTTTGCCAGTGAATAAAAATTTCCAAAACGCTGACACACATTTTTTCTAATTTATAATATTTTGGCAGGAAAAAAAAAAAAACCCTTCCATACAAGAACGTCAGGCTTAACCATGCAGTCCAAATACAGGTAGCTTTCACTTAAATGTGGCACTTACATCTTTCCACTAGATGGTGCTGTAAGACCAGTACTTTTTCTTCTCTTCCTGACCAGTAATAGGCAATGCGGCAGTAAGAATAAAATTAGAATTTACATCTCTCCAAAAGGATTGCGTGTGGTAATTTTTGCCCTTTGTGAAAGATGCTTACCCCATATGAGATAAGCCAACAAGTCTTCACATTTTTGTGGAACCCAGTTTTATCTAGTAAGTTCATCATGGTTTAAATAAATTACAAATATCTTGGTAGTAAATTATTTAAAAACCTGGTTAATTGTTCTTGCTGGTTTAGAAATCTGATATCAACTTCATAAATTGGCTGTGATTTTTATTTGACTTTGCAATTTTTCCGTTGTGCCTATCCTGTTATTCCATAGCATATTCAATAAAATGCCAAAATTTTAATAAGGCAGAATATTTTCTGAGTTTGATAATACTTAGTCTAAAACAACAATGGTTTAAAAACTTAAAAAACAATGGTTTTGAATGAATTGAAATGTAGTGGTAGGTGAATATCATGCCAGCTTGGGAAATTCAGTCATGGAGAAAACTGTATTCTGAATTGACAGCTTTGTGTATGCTAACAAGAAGTGATTTACATACAGCCTTTATAGCACTGGCAGATGGGAAAGCGTAAGGGTGGAATTGTTTTGGTTATAGAGAAGAAACTATGATACTTGATGGAGAAACTGGAATGTTAGCAAATGTAGCACATTTAAAAAGGTTCCTGGACTAACAGAGGAATAGAGATATCAACAGACAAAACTTAAAAGGAACCAAACCATGCTATCTTGATTTTGCACTGTGGGATAAATATGTTGATATAATTATATCTTGATATAATTCAGAACATACTATTTCAAAACTTAGGAGCCTGAGACATCGATCTTGGTTCATTGCTTTCAAAGTTTGAAATATCAATATGAGAAAAAAAATAAGCTGATCGTCTTGGGTTCTAGAAACACCATGAAATTTATTCTAAAACTTGAGTCTTAATCTTTACAACTTAGTACACCTGATCAAACAGTCAGTGGTTTGCACCCTGATTTCTTGTTTGCAAAGTGGATTTCCAGAATGTCTTTAAATGAATATTGATTAACCAAAGCAAAGAAGATCCTTGTCTTTCCAATGTCACATACTTGGTTTACATGAGGAGTAGAGAAACATACTTTTATTCATTTAAAATACTATTTGCCCACCATAATTTGATATGGATTTGTTTAGGAAGTGGTTCAGTGCTGCCGCCTCCCATCTCCGCCCCCCCCACCTCCATTTTATTCAGAGTATAATTAAGAAACACACACATACACACACATGAACATACACATCTAAGGCAGTGATTCTCAACATTGGCTACACATCAGCATCCCTAGGGAACCTAAAAAATACATCTCTATTTCCTTAGGCCAATTTATTTCATCTGGATTGTGGCCTGAGCATTGGTATTTTTAATACCTCCCAGATGAATCTAATACAGTACAAAGCAAGGATTAGAGAAACGCAGGTATAGCTCGTCAGCAACCACCCTTCTTCCTAAGCCCTCAACCGCTCAGCCCAGAGCGTGTTGTGCTGCATGCTAGACAAAACTAGCACTGAGCTACATTGCAGCTCTTCATCCTTTTGCAGTGGTGGGAACTGAACCCAGAGCCTTCACACTCAGCTCCGTGCATACCCAGCCCATGTACTTTTTTGAGACAGGGTCTTACTAAAGTGCCCTGAGAGACTTGAACAAACTTGTGATCTTCCTGTCGTGTCTCTGAGCTGGGATTGCAGACTGACTGCACTACAAATCCTGGCTCAGGGTCCTTTCAAAATTTAAGGCAAGATCTCCCTAAGTTGCCTGGACTGGTTTCAAATTTGTGATCCTTCTGCCTTAGCCCTCAAGTGGCTGAGATTTTGGGCTTACTTCACTATATGAATCATCGATATACTTTGAATTGAGAAATAAAGCAATTATTTAAAAACTGCATGTATTGACAAAGAGATTGCATTTTATTTTCAAATCCATTAAATTTATTATTTTTCTTTATGTCATATCTAGCAACTTCATTCTACATCCATAAATTACTGTACTCCAAAACACTTTTTGATGTGTTTGGATATTTGAGAAGGCATATAATTTAATACAATTTAAGTGCCAGTAAGGTTTTTCAGTACAAGGTTACTTTGTTTTAGTCACTTTCTAGTTAATAATGACAGCTTTACTTTGTTTTCCTCACAGTGCCAACACCTTGTTTCTGAACTTCTCTAATAATCTTTCTGAGGGACTGTTCAGCTTAGTTGTGTACTATATGCTTTGTTGTGTACTATATGCTTCTCTATAACCAAAACAATTTTATTTTATTTTATTTTTTGGGACTGGGTCTCAATGTGTATCCCAGGTTGACATTGAACTCACAGCAGTCCTCCTGCCTCAGCTTCTGAGTATACCATTTGCTGTAAATGGGAAGACTAGAATATTTGAATCCTTTCTATTTTTTGATCCTACAGATAGGATACTCTTCATTATTGTTGTGAACAATTAAAGATAATTTCTTCCCTACTGTTACCAGACAGTGGGTTCCAGGGGAATTTTTTCCAGGTATTTGGTTATCTTGAACAAAGATTGGACAAGACACAGAAAAGGTAGCAGGTACATTAATTGAAGGTGGAAAAGAAGGTCACTCTACAGAGTGAGAGCAGGCTGATGAGCAGACTGTCTACAAGCAGCCTGAGATTGAGGGAAAGGGGAGTTTTGTACCTGGAATTCCTGGACTTCTGTGTCATGCAGATAAGGCTTGGGATAGTTGGTCTATCAGAAACTCACTTGGCCCGGTACTCTATTGAAAGATTCAGTTGGCTTATACCGGATGTAAATGAAGAATGGAAAGCAGAACTTTTTTGATTGGTTCTGCACATAGCTTTTCGAAGTTGCGGGGCCATCCTGCATCCTGTGTTCTGCTCCTGTCT